GCTTCAACAACTGTCCTGCGTCTGACCTCAAAGTGCACGAGCTTCAAACTTCAGTGTTGGCTGCGATTTTGAAGCTGAAATCGCGTTCGGTGTGAACGCACCATAAACAATAATAAACAAATCAATACGGTGCATTTCCAACGGCTCTATGATAACAGCTTCACCCTAATTTTGTTTTTACAAGTTAACATTTTTTGAGCTAAAAGTATTAATAAAGTTGGTTTAGTTCAGCAGAATATTTAATGATATGATTGTTGATCAAGATGATTGTGATTTTTTTTTTTCTAAAGTTCAGCTGCTTCAACACCTTTACCTGAGATATATTTGTCTTTGGGAAGGTTTCACCTACTTACCTGTAGTTTCCTTATTATTAAAGCAGAATATCTGTTCTAAATTCTGTGTTAAATGATATTTTTGAGTGCAACAAGGCTCAGTCTGCCCTCCTCGTATCCTATCTCATGAACTAAGATCTGTGGGCTAATAACTAAGAGTGATTTTCAGCATACTTTGATAGGTGCTGAACTAATTACATTTTTATTTAGTGAATATTGGGCTTTCAATTTAAACAAGTGTTTCCCCTACCATTATACAAAGCCTGCGAAGCTTTAACAACTGTAGTTTTTTCACACCCAAGTTGTCGGAGAAAAAAAACTTTTTTTAAGTATTGTTACCCACAAAGATGATAAAAAGACAGGGACGTTCGATCAGTCATAAATCCAGCTTATTACGGTCGGTCTCTGCTATGAGCACAGCAGCAGCGGGCAGAAGCTCTTTATGGCAGGCCGATTTTGCATTAATTTTTTAATTTTTATTCTTTTTTTTTTTACCATTATTTTACCAGGCAAGTCCCATTGAGATCACAGATCTCTTTTCCAAGGGCGACCTGAAGGCAACCTATTGTACATGTTTTGGGGGGTGGGGGAAACCGGCGTACACAGAGAAAACCCACGCAAGCACGAGGAGAACATCAAAACTCCGCACAGAAAGACCCCAGGTCCGAACCGGGGATCGAACCCAGGACCTTCTTGCTGTGGGGCGTCGGTGCTAACCACTGAGCCGTCGTGCTGCCATTTGGCTTCACCGCGCTTACATTCCAGTAATCTGAAATTGTTTTATGACTAAATTAGACAGATTAGTTATTTAAAGAGTAACTTACCCCAATATTAACTTTTTTTAGCTGATAAACTGCCTAGAATGTGTCTAAAATGTTATATAGTACTGTTTCTGTGCTAATTTTGATGTTTTTGTGCGTATATGTTCAAATCTGTAATATTTGGTCTAAAAACGTCTTTTTTGCTGCTCATATGGGTAGAGCAGTGGTACTGCAGGCTAATTTGCATATTGGTTAATGGCTCTCCACGGTGACGTGTCTTCTCCACAGTTTCGTCACAGCGGCTGTGTTCTGGTATAAAAGCCTCTCTCTAAGACACGCCCCTGCAGCAGTCAGAGGGAACGAACTTCAGTCAAACAAGACCCAACACTTTTATTCCTGATTTAAACTAGCGATCGTGAGCAGCTGTATGC